ATTTTTTTCCTATGTTTTCTTCTAGAATATTTATAGTTTTAGCTTTTATTTTTTTAATATATTCTTAATTAATTATTTATTTATTCACGAGAGATACACAGAGTGAGGCAGAGACATAGGCAGAGGGAGAAGCAGGCTCCCCAATCCCAGGACCCCAGGATCATGCCCCGAGCCAAAGGCAGATGCTCAACCACTGAGCCACCCAGGTGCCTCTATAGTTTTAGCTTTTACATTAAAGTCTGTCATTTACTTTGAGGTAATTTTTGTATATGGTGAGATAAGGATTAATGTTTACTCTTTTCTATACAGTTATCTTGTTCTAGCACCATTTGTTGAAATGACTTTTTCCCCCACTAAATTGCTTTGGCAATTTTGTCAAAAAAATTCAATTGACCGTATCAGTGGGAGTCTATTTTTGGATTCTATTCTTTTCCATTAATCTGTATGTCTATCTTACCCTCCAGTATCACACTTGCTTTATTATTGTAACTCTATAGTAAATCTTGAAATAAAGTAGTAATAAAACCTCCGTTCTTTTAAAACTACTCTGAAAATTCTAGAAACTTTTTATGTCCATATAAATTTTAAAATTAGCTTGTCAATTTCTGCAAATAAAAAGAGGAAAGAAAGCTTGCTAAAATTTTGACTGTCAGATTTCTTTGAATCTATAGCACCCTTTGGGTAGAATTGATATCTTAATGATATCTTCCAATCTATGAACCTGGTATATCTCTGCGTTTCTTTAGGTCTTTAACTTCTACCAGCAATATTTTGCCCTTTCACTATGAAGATTGTACACCTTGTATTAGTTTCTTTTGGCTTCTTTAACAGATTACCACAAATAGGTTTGTTTAAAACAACAAAAATTGGAGACTCTGGGTGGCTTAGTGGTTAAGCATTTGCCTTTGGCTCAGGGCATGATCCTGGGGTCCTGGGATGGAGTCCCACATCAGGCTCCCTACAGGGAGCCTGCTTCTCCCTCTGCTTGTGTCTCTACCTCTCTCTGTGTATGCCTCTCATAAATAAATAAAATCTTTAAAATAAATAAATAAATAAATAATAATAAATAAATAAATAATAAATAAAACAGAGATTGATTCTTGCAGTTCAGGGCCAAAAGTCCAGTCAGGTATTGGCAGGTCAGTTCTTTCCAGACTCTTTATGGGAGAATCTGTTCCATTCCTGGCTTCTGGAGGCTCCTAGCAATCCTTATTATTCCTCAGCTAACCTCTCTTCTTGTGTCCCCTCTAGGTCACAGTGTTGTCTCCTTTTCATCTCTTATAAAGACACTGTCATTGGACTTAGGGAACAGCCAAATGCAGGATGATTTCATCTCAAGATGTTAAACTTAATTGCATCTGCAAAGACCCTTTTGCCAAAAAAGGTCACATTCTGAGGTTCCAGGTACACATATGTTTTGGGAGCCACAATTGAACTCACTATATGGATATATTTTTAAAGATTTTATTTATTTATTTTGAGAGAGAATAAGTGGGGAGGGGGAGGCAGAGGGAAAAGCAGGCTCCCCTCTGAGCAGAAAGTCCGATGCAAGACTCCATCCCAGGCCCCCGGGACCATGACCTGAGCCAAAGGCAGTTGCTTAACTGACTGAGCCACCCAGACACCTCACCACATGCATATTTTTGAAAATGTATTCCTAAGCATTTTACATCTTATGATGTTATTATAAATGGTTTAAAATCCTTCATTTCAAATGATTTGCTGGTAGTATCTAAAAATATAATTGACTTGCATGTATTAATCTTATATCTTATGATTTTACTAAATACAATTATTAGTTCTGTCATTGTTATGTAGATTATTTTAGGATTTTCTACATAAACAAGCACACTAGTTATAAATAGAGGCAATTTTACTTCTCTTTCTAGTCATGCCTTTTCTTTTTCTTGCTTTATTACAATTACTAGGATGTCCAATGAAATGGTGACTAGAAGTGATAAAAGCAGCCCTTTTCCCAACATTAGGAGGAAATTTTATAATTAAGCATTAAGGATGGTGTTTACAATACACTTTTTAAATATAATGCCTGTTATTAGATTGAGAAAATTCCTTTTTTATTAATAATATGTGGAGAGGTTTTTTAAATTAAAAAATGAATATGAATTTTATCAAATAATTTTTCTGCATCTATTGAAATAATGATGTGCTTTTCCCCATTTATCCGATTAATATGATGAGTTACCTTGATTTTAAAATACAAAACAATCTTACATTGCTGGAATAAATCCTAATGGATGACCATTTCTTTTAATATTTTGCAAGGTTTGATTTATTAAAAATTTGTTAAGGATTTTTGCATTTATGTTTATGAAGGATATTGGTCCTGCGATTGCCTTGTAATTTATTTTCCAATACTGGTAAAGAATGAGTTAGGAAGCATTCCCTCTTCTGCTTTTTAGAAAAGTTTTGTGAGATTAGTGTTCGTTCTCACGTGGATATTTGATAGGAATCACCAATCATATTATTTGGACCTGGTTTTCTCTGTGGGAAGGTTTAGATAATGGATTCAATTACTCTGAGAGATGTAAAGCCATTTAGATTTTCTGTTTCACCTGTGTCAGTTTTAGCAAGTTGTATTTTTCAAGGAACTTGCTCATTTTATCTATGTTCTATCCTAGTCATTTTTATATGTTAGTCTTAGATACCTTCTCCTCCTGAAACTTTCCCAGATACTTCCAACAAAAGTGATTTCACATTCTTTGTGCCACTACTTTATCTGGTATCATTTGTACTCTCCACCTTCCTTTGTGATTGTTTGCCCATATATCTCTTCGTATAGTAAGTTAAGGGCCTTGAAGTTTAATGATTGCATCCTATATATCTGAGTCTCTGCCACCCTATATGGTGCTTGGTACATATTAGGTACCATCCACCCCCAGTGTTTAATCAATCAATTCCACTTACCATTATCTAATTTATAGTTACGCACCCATGTTTCTAACCTCCTTAGTAGATTATGAGCATCTTTTGCAAAAAAAAAAAGGTAAGTTATATTCAATGTTCATATTACTTTTAGGTCTTATATTTAGAATACTTTTTAAAACTATTAAATTATATAGACTTGGGATGCCTGAGTGGCTCAGCAGTTGAGCGTCTGCCTTTGGCTCAGGTTGTGAACTCAGGGTGCTGGGATTGAATCCTGCATCAGGCTCCTAGTAGTGAGCCTGCTTCTCCCTCTGCCTATGTATCTGCCTCTCTCTCTGTGTCTATCATGAATAAATAAATAAAATCTTAAGACAAAATTAATTAATGAAATAGACTTGCTGAGCATTATAGAAAAGTCAGCATTCTATAAGCTCAGGAGAGAGAGGATAAATGGAAATTGTGAAAGTATGCATCAATAAAGGGAGAGAAGAAATAAGGAACTAACATTGTGAGTGTTTACTATATGCCAGACATTATCACAAACAATTTATATTCCTTGTATCATGTAACCTTAAAATAAGTAGGCATAGAAAATATTATTATTCAGATGAGCATCTAGCTCTTGGTTTGAGCCCAGGTTATGATTTCGGGGTTATGAGATCAAGCCCCACATCAGGTTCCACACTCAGCATGGAGTCTGCTTGAGATTCTCTCCCTCTCCACTTGCCCCTCCCCCTGCTGGTGCACACTCTCTCTAAATAAATAAATAAATAAATAAATAAATAATAAATATTTTTAAAAAGAAAATATTATTATCCCTATTTTATAAATCAGGAATCTGAGGTAAGGTTTCAAAAAGTTAAGTACTCTGCCCAAGTCCACAAAGTTATTAAGTGGCAGATCTGGCTTTCAGATGCACGCCTGAATGATTCCATTATCCATCTTCTTGGTTAATGGTTTTAATTATACTTTGCCCATTTTGGTTTTCTACAAGGCACTTGAGGAATTTTCCCAAGTTACCTTTAAATTCTACCTTTGCCAGAATAGAATACTCTGTGGCTCCCCAATTGAGTGTTGGAATCACTCTATGTTTAGAAAGACTTCAAAGTATTCCCTGAGTATTTGTCCTGCCTACAGCATGAAATATACAGAAGTGGCAAAGAAGATTCCAAACAGCCTTATCTCAAAGTATGCTGTATAACTCCCTGTTGTCTCCCTACTACTCATCAGCCTTTGTCTGTAAGCCTGCCATTATTTTGATGACAGCAGATGCTACAGTTCTTTTTTTTTTTTTAAAGATTTTATTTATTTACTCATGAGAGACACAGAGAGAGGCAGAGGGAGAAGCAGGCTCCATGCAGGGAGCCCGACAGGGGACTCGATCCTGCGGCCCCAGGATCATGCCCCGGGCTGAAGGTGGCACTAAACTGCTGAGCCACCCGGGCTGCCCTCTGGATATGACTAATTGGGGGGAATCATTGGTTCCTGAGTTCCTACCCAAATGGCATAAGGGCAGTTAAGAGGCCAAGGCCGTGATAACTAAAGCAATCTCCATGGCTTGTTGTGAAAGGAGAAGATGTTTCCTTACAGATAATCTTACCTTTGTATATGCTCCTTACTGATTCTGTTTGAAAGATCTGTGGGCTAATTTGTGCAAGGCACATTCTTTCTCCTTTTGCTTTGATAAAAAATATTTGGAACACCAGATCCAATCACACAGTCTCTTTGCTACTGCTAACTTAGACGTTTCTATTTTAAGTCTCTTTTGTATCCACATAATAGTACTCTACAGATCACCAAATCAGTTCCCTATGATAATCATGCTTTTCCCAATTAAGAGTTGTGACTAACGCACCATTTTCCCAATACATTTTAGCCACAGAACTGGGTGGGAAGGCGAGGCAAATTTTTCAGCGATTCCAGTCTATCAGTTGAAACAAGAGGTTTCTGAGGTCTTCCCGATGTGAAAAACAACATTAAAATAGTAGCAGTTGTTTATTTATTGGTGTGTACAATACTATGGTCAGGAACTTGCTATTTCACCAGGGAAATTATTTGCAATATATCATTAAAGACATGATTTAATTCATGCTGATCATTCCCTCTAGTCTACCATGGGGAGGGTGATACTTAAATGTATCATAAGCACCAGACAAGGCAGCTGGATGAATTTTCTCTCTCTGGAAATTCTAGTTTCTGTTGGAATGACTCCCTTGGGCATCCACAGCTCCAGGTTCTTTCTGACTGAGAAATAAGCAAGTACTCCCAGGGCTGATCACATTTGGGAATAAAATCTAAAGAAGTACCCCTGCCTTTTAGACGTCAGAGATCAAGATAGGGATGTTTCTCACTTTGAGGGAGTAGATACAGCTTCTTTGTGCTCTGAGCATCAAACGTGTTGAGAGAAGGACATTGTCGAGACTTAATATTAATTAATAGTGTTTATTCACACAAACCTGGATCAAATGATACTCTACAGGGAGTCTGGAGAGAAGAGATTGGAATGAATACGTGAAGCCTTGGAAGCTGTTTTCGGCTGAGGATTTTTGAGTAGTTGCTTGAAATCAAAGGAAGAACCAAGGATAGTAGGAGCTGAGAACAGAAGGGCAGGATATAATCTCTTTTTTTTCTTCCACCTAACACTGTGCTTAGGCAAAGCCCAGTCTATGTGAGAGCCGCCCTATAAAAAGTTGCTTCACGAATGAATGAATGGACGTTTGATTCTGAACCTTTTCTCACACAGTAGCTTCAAATTGTGGTGAATCTCTTGTGTTCCATCTGGGTGCTGTAGGAAGCCAGGAAAGACCTTCCTATTAGATCTTGGAAACTGAGAGCATGCTTTGTATTGCCTGGATGGGATGAGCTTCAGGCAGTTCCATTTATCCAGAGGCAGAGCCGACCCTCTTGCCTGCAGCTGGAACGCTGTTGCCAGTTTCAACAAAGAGCCTATATTGCTTAAGGAAACAGTGTTTCCTCTTACAAGGTACAATCTTGGCTCCTCTGCCATGAGGGGGGCTGTTCTTGGAAATGAACTCCAGAGACTTTCCTATTTAACCAGGATACAAATTGCATTGCTACATAATTCCCCCTGCTGAGGCCCTATGAAAGGAATGAGTTGGGACAGATACAGCAAGATATTAGGACACATTTTCCCCATTCTTCCTGCTGTACTACACAGAAGTGAACTTGGTTTCAACAGGATGACCCAATTCTTAGCATGCTTGTCTACCCACTTGCACCCATAATGCTTCCAAATCACTCTCTGATTCAAGATGTACAGAGAAACAAAATGAAAAAAAAAAAAGATAAACTAGCCAGTAAAAAGTAAGATGACATTTAATTAAAACTAAGTTTGCAAGGGTATTTTGTTCAAAAACAAAGCAAAACAAAACAAAAAACCACACATCACTGTGATTAAAACGCAGAGAAGCATAGCACATCACTATCTTTTTGTGGTTTTGAGTGTATTTTATTTGTGCACTGGAAGTAGATATTTGTCATATTGTTAATAATTGCTCTACTAGATTGTACTCAACAGTGTGCATCACTGTAACCTTGTTTACTCACAGGGTTTCATTTTCCTCCTGTACTTTTCTTAAGCTTGTTTCTAAGGGGTGGTTCCTTCACATACGCTTTCAATTTTTAAATAACACAATCCGTTCATTTCACAAGGCATCTTTATTTGCTTAAAGTGGGGAAGAATCAGATTGTGATTGTAGTGTAAATCAGCCAAGCCTTTTCTTCCCTTTACGGGAAAAGCAGTGGGTAATAGAAACGAGAACTGAAGGAAATAGGAATTCTACTAGGCTTTTGTGAATTCAGTCAGTAGAGCAAGTACAGTAAATCCGTGGAGTGGGGGGTGGGGGTAGGGGAAGAAAAGAAAATGCAAACTGTCTTTTAGAGCTTTTACTTTAAGCCACCCAAGTATCCCCCTTGTCTTCCTCCCACTGTCCTGACCCCACCAGGGCATAGTCAGAATCCAGGGTTCAGGGCACTTCAGAAGCTGGAAGGAGAGCAAGAGTGAGGCTCTGGGTCAGCATTCCCCCGATCATCATGAGAAGTCCATGCAGAAAGGCTACCCAGAGACCCTCGTTCTGACCTCTCTCATAGTGCATCAGAAAAACTCCTAAATTATATCAGTCATCCTGAAATTTGATCAGTAAAGAATTTTCTGCTTCTAAAATACTTAATCTTAAAGAAATAATAATAAAATACTTAATCTTGTTGGGACCTTTTGGGGTAGGAAAATCTGATGAGAAATAAACATTCCCTATATTCCTATGCATTGGGTATGCTCCTGGAAACATTGGAGGGATCGTTTGCCAAAAAGTCTTGGCAGTTTTCAAAGATGGCTGGCCAAGTCATGAGAGAACGAGGAGAAGAGGTTTATGTAGCACTGAGTCCAGCATTGTGTGTAAAACACCGGTTTCAATGTAAAGAAATCTGTTGCACAAAACCCTTGGAAAACACATCATCTTCTCTTTTCTTTACTACCCCCACACAAATATCCTGTTCCTCAAAAAAAGTTTTTTTAGAATATAGAAAAATAGAGAATCAACATGATCCTCAAGAAGCAGATCTCTTTGTTTTAATTTTGTTTTCCTTTTGCTTTTACATTTAAGAGTTAAGACAACATTTCAGCAGAGAAATGTGGAGAAGGGTAAAGAAAAATCAATAAAGTTATTCTGTGACTTTTACCAGGAGGGAGCTGTGTTAATCGAGAATGGCCTGCTTGGCTATATATCAAGTCCAAGAAGAGAGCAGAAGTTGATTTTGAAACAGATTTCCCAGTTAGACTGAAGGAGATATATATAAATATACATATATGTACATATGTATATAAGTTTTCAAGAATGGTGTGTGTCTGCATATACACTATTATATACATTTTAATATATATGAAAAGTGTATATTATATACACACACATATTTAAAAAGGAGATAAGAATAATTGCTTCAGGGGCACCTGGGTGGCTCAGTCAGTTGGATGTCTGCCTTCGGCCTAGGTCATGATCTTGGGGTTCTGGGTTTGAGCCTAGCATCAGGCTCTCTGCTCAGCAGGGAGTCTACTTCTCCCTCTTCCTCTGCTCTCCCCCCACTTGTGCTTTCTCACTCTTGCTCTCTCTCTCTGTCTCTCTCAAATAAATAAATAAAATCTTAAAAAGAATAATTGCTTTAGGTCATTAGTGATATTGGACAAAAATCTCTCTCACAGTAGTTTCTGTATATTGAGCTAGGATCATTTTACACTTTAGAAGTTTCTCTAATAAGTCCTTTGACTCCCAAAGAAGGAACTTGATGTACAAAAAGCCTAATATGACAGATGAAGGGGTGGAAACCAGATTCCCTGACCCAAGGCCAGTGGAAGTGTCTTTGACCATGGGGAAGCTTCTAAAGTGTCTCTCTGGGTTATTAGTGTAGTTAGTCACATTCTCTGGCAACTACAGAAATTTCTAGCAGGTGTGATTTCAGCATAGCTTTCAAAAGTGAAGTTGGCCAGGGCACTAACAATTCCACTGGATCATAGCACCACATTCTCATGTTCCTTAGAAGCAGTAGTGGTTTCTTCCTGGACAGATTTGACAACATCATTGGGAAGGAGGCAGGATACCTGAGTGTCAGGCCTGACTTCATCTTCGCAACCAACCCTTCTGGATATCAGTTTCCTTTTGTTTGAGATGGGATGAATAGCTCTTGCTCCTTCCAAACAACTAACTTCCTTATTGCCCAAGAATCTTGTTGAAATTTCTTTGTTCCACTCAATGCTGAAAAGATTTTGGAGACCACTTGGGGATCTCCTTCCCATGACCCAATCCACTGTGGTTAATTTCACCATTCTGAGACCCTTCACGTTTTTCTTCTTTCATTTTGGATGTTCAAATTCTAAATTGTTTTTAACATTAACTAAGATGCTCTATTTATTTTCTTTCTTTTTTAAAAAATATTTTATTTATTTACTTATCTATTTATTTGAGAGAGAGAGCGAGAGAGAGCAGGAGGAGAGACAGAGGGAGAGAAATAGAATCTGAAGCAGACTCCCCATGAGCACAAAGCCCAATTCGGGGTGCAATCTCACCACCCAGAGATCAAAACCTGAGCCAAAATCAAGAGTCAGATGCTTAACCAACTAAGCCACACAAGTGCCTCTCTACTTATTTTCTTAATCTAAACTCCATATGTATCATAACTATTAAGAAAATGGAATGGGGGATGCCTGGGTGACTTAGTGGTTGAGCGTCTACCTTGGGCTCAGGTCATGATCCTGGGGTCCGGGATCAAGCCTCATATTGGGCTCCCCACAGTGAGCCTGCTTCTCCCTCTGCCTGTGTCTCTGCCTCTCTCTCTCTCTCTCTCTCTCTGCCTCTCATGAATAAATAAATAAAATACTAAAAAAAAAGAAAGAAAGAAAAGAAAAAGAAAATGCAATGGAATCTAGACAGATAGAGGGACTATGCAGTTTTGGAATTTCCATGAAGGAAATTTCAGAGTTAATCTAGTCTAATCCTCTCATGTTATAGTTGAGGAGCTAATAATCTGAGAGGTAAAATGTATCATCCAAGGTTACTGTGACAGAATTTAGTGGAAAACCCATGCCTCTTTAATTTTCAGTTTTGTATTCTTTCTATTGGTTCATGTGTCTTGAGATCACTATAATTACAAATAATGCCAGAGGGGACCCTGGGTGGTTCAGTTGCTTTAACATTTGATTTTTTATTTCCACTCTGGTCATGATCTCAGGGCTGTGGAGTCGAGCCTGGTGTGAGGCTCCAAACTCACCAGGGAGTCTGCTTGAGATTCTCTCTCTCCTTCTCCCTCTGTCCCTCCCCTTTTCTCTCTCTCTCAATCTCTCTCAAAATAAATAAATAAATAAATAAATCTTGAAGAAGAAAGAAGAAGAAGAAGAAAGAAGAAGAAGAAGAAGAAGAAGAAGAAGAAGAAGAAGAAGAAGGAGGAGGAGGAGGAGGAGGAGGAAAGAAGAAGAAGAAGAAAGTAGTAGGTAAAGTTCAGGTGAGCAGACCAGATAAAGATATGTCAACCTTTGGTTTCCCCAGGGCCAGATTCTAAGTCTTTGTATGTAACCTGACCAGGATGGCTTTAGCATCCTCATGGAGGATGGTGGCTTCATGGTTGCCAGAGCCTTCTTTTTGTCCCTTCCTGTCCCATAAGATCCGATCTAGAATCTGGATCTAATAGAATTCCTACCTTTCTGTTCTTATTTTGGACATGGTTGCATTTGCACTGTATCTTATAGCTCGTACATTTTAAGTTGACTTTACACATTTTTTATTCAACTTTACTGAGAGTTTACTGTGTGCCAGTCACGTGCAGTGAGCTGGAGATTCAGAGCCGGATCTCACAGTCTTTTAATTACATTCACAGTGTCACATGTCCTGTGTGAGATATGCTCACATCAGAAATGCCGGGGGGTTGCTGAGGAAGGAGACTCAGGGATCATCCAAAGAAGTCCAAAAAAGATAGCAGATCCAGTGATAATTGCCTTTACTCTCTGGTCTCCTTCCTTAACCAGTGCAGAGAAGTTAATTTTAGATGATGGTATTTTCTAGAGTTCTCTCTGCCTTGTTTTCAACAAAAGAGAAGTAACATGTAACATTTTTCCTTCTTCCGTGTCTCCCCCAGACTTAGAGATCCTCATCATGAATTCTCTGAACAAACCGGGTTTTCTGATACTTCAGTCAATTCTTACTGGGCTGCTGGAAGCTAGCCCTGGGGGCCCAGAGATATATGCGTATGTAGACTAGTTGGGGGGAAGATGTTCCCCCATCATTTCCCCCCAACTTTAATTTTTCAATCAATTTTCTTTGTTTCCTTTGTTTTTAAAAAGTCATTGACAAGTTGACCCCTAGATATTTCCTAGAAACACCCAAAGCTCTGTTAACATTTTACAACAGAACACTAGCCAGATCTTGTTTGTTTTATGTTAAAAGTTCTTCTCCTTCCTCACCTTAGAAATCTTCTCACTTTTCCATCAAATGTAAGACACAGATTTTGAGTAATTAAACTCATGGCAGAAGAGGAAACTCATCCTTTAAAGATTGCTTGCCTGTAGATAATCAGTCAATTGGTCTGTGTTACA